GCTCTTCAAAAAAATAACCCTGGCCGATCCAACACCAGGGTGGGCCAACACCATGGTGTGTCAGGTTTTTTTTCGAGTAAAACTCCTTTTTGCGTTGGCGGCCTTCGGCCACGCTTCAAAAAAAAAAACCTTGGCCGATCCAACACCGGGGTGGGCCAACACCAGGGTGTGTCAGGCTTTTTTTTCGAGAAAACTCCTTTTTGCGTTGGTGGCCTTCGGCCGCGCTTCAAAAAAATAATAAAATGCTAAAATGTTTATTTTAGCAAATATTTAAAATATTAATAAAAAATAAATATGTAGGAATATTGTAGTGAAATGTAAGTGTACAAAAAGTGCAAAATATTAAAGAAAAAGTTACTATAAATCGAGAAATTACAAAATTAAATTTGCGAAATTTTCTACTTTAAATGCATATATCTCGAAAACTATAAGTTTTGCGGCGGCAACAATTATATATTTTCTTAATCTGGAGCATCAGCCCTATCCATCCATACCACTTTTAACCCGTAAATGGTGGGATGGTATACTAAAGCCGACCCCAAACGCTCCTATCGGTGAGAAGATAAAAATCGCGGATTCCATCTCAGAGTGCTTAGAGATAAAGGTTGGTAACCAGATTTGCGAGGTTAGCACCGAACCGTCTTTTCCAGATGAGTGGTCGAATCTTCGAGYTGAAGTCGCCGCTTTAACAAAGCAAGTCAATCAATTCATGCGCAACAGCCGCACACAACAGCGCTCTAGATCTTCAAGTGCCTCACGCAGCAGAAGAGGTTCGCTCAATGTACCGTGCTAGTGCTGGTACCATACGAAATTCGGGGCAAATGCCACAAAGTGTCGACAGCCGTGTACATTCACACWGTCGCCGCCTCAAAACGTCGAGTAGGTGRGCGGAGCTAATCCAGTATCAGGGCTCGGCAAATACCCTGATATACAAAGGAGCTATCGACTCTGCATCTACGATACATCAGCAAAAATGAAATTTCTCRTAGACTCAGGTGCAGATGTCTCTGTCATACCCAAGTCAACAAAATTATCTTATGCTCCCCATCATCAGCACTCCTGTTTGCCGCGAATGGCTCCACCGTATCCAGTTACGGTGAAGTCATGCTYAAACTTAATCTTAACTTGCGGAGGGAATTCCTCTGGAATTTTATTGTCGCAGACGTATCGCAAGGCATTCTTGGTGCCGATTTTCTTGGGTACTATGGCTTKATTGTCGATTTGCAAGGCCAGGGTCTTGTCGATCGCACAACATCGCTTAAATCACCGTRTATATTAACGCAAGGCCAATTATCGAAAATCTCAACAATCAACGCTTCGCAAAAATTCTCAGGTATTCTGAAGGAATTTTTAGAACTCACGTGTCTACCAGCGSCAGGCAGTCGAACAGACGCTTCCATAGTTCATCAAATCACTACCACCGGTCAACCTGTTTGTGCCAGGCCGCGACGTCTATCACCGGAGAAGCTCGCCGCTGCACGCGCAGAGTTCGAATTACTAATCAACCTCGGCATTTGTCGCCCTTCAAAACAGCAGCTGGGCGAGCCCGCTCCATCTCGTTCGGAAAGCTGACGGATCATGGAGACCCTGAGGCGACTATAGGGCATTAAACGCTATCACCATTCCAGACCGCTATCCGCTACCATTTCTGCAAGATTTCTCAACGGTTTTAGCAGGTAAAACAATCTTTTCTAAAATTGATCTGCAAAAAGCTTTCCACCATGTGCCAATACACCCTGATGACATCTGTAAAACAGCAATTACGACACCCTTCGGGTTATTTGAATTTASGCATATGACCTTCGGTTTGCGGAACGCCGCACAAACCTTTCAGCGACTAATCAATGAGGTGTTTAGAGGATTGGACTTCGCATTTACGTATTTAGACGACGTTTTTATCGCATCCAAATCAACTGAAGAGCACCAGGAACATCTCCGAATGGCGTTTCGTCGATTACAAAATTACAAATTAAAGATTAATGTTTCAAAATCACAGTTTGGCGTTACGGAATTGGAGTTCCTTGGTCATTCGATCACCAAGRATGGTATAAGCCCGCTCCGCAGCCGCGTCGAAGCGATAACACACTTTAAGCTACATACTGTAGCAAAGGAGCTTAAACGCTTTCTCGCCACACTTAACTTCTACCGCAGATTTTTGCCCAATGCGTTAGAGCATCAAAGCTCTCTTTTTGCGATGGTGACCGGCAACAAGAAAAACGATAATCGCAACCTCATTTGGACAGAAGACGCCGTACGCCATTTTGAGGCCTGCAAAAACCAACTTGCGAACTGCGCTGTTTTAGCACACCCTCTACCCAACGTAGAGCTGTCGCTTTGGGTAGACGCATCCGACTTCGCAGCTGGGGCAGTTTTAAATCAAGTAGTCAACGGGGACCTCCAAACTCTTGGATTTTCGCGATCTCACCGCACTCTACTTGGCTATGCGCTACTTTCGTTACATGGTGGAAGGCCGACTCTGCCATGTGTATACCGACCACAAGCCGCTTACTTTCGCGTTTCGTCAGCAGTTACACAAAGCATCAGATCGTCAAGTCAGACAGTTGGACTTCATTTCTCAAATCACAACTGATATTCGGCATGTTAAAGGGGAAGAGAATGTCGCAGCCGATATACTWTCGTGGACACAGTCAATCACGGCTGCTACTATCAATTACGATGCACTTGSSGATGRTCAACAAAAAGATAACGAATTGCAGTCATACTTATCCGGTAAAGTTCATCATTCACTAAAACTTAAAAGTTTTCCATTACCTTTCAGCATCAAGAAAGTGGTTTGTGATGTGTCTACAGGTCGATTCGTCCCTTTGTAACATCGAAATTTCGTTAAGTATTTCTGCAATCTACGCACAACCTATCACACCCTGGTACACGAGCCACCGTCAGGCTTATGGTGGAGCGATTTGTGTGGCCAGGAATTAAACGTGACAGCAGGGCTTATGCAAAAACTTGCTTACAAAGTCAGCGAAACAATAATGTACAATATTTCCGGACAAATTTCAAATAAATAAATAGTTTTAGTGGATATGTGTATTTATTTCATTCACAACACCCACGGATAAGCGGCAGCCGCGTTTTTTCCAATAGAGTGCATAAAACATAGTATGTACCGAAGAGAGCACCATCTTGTGTACCTTTAAACGAAAAAATCCAGCGACAATGTCGGGTTGATCCATTGACTTTTGACCGGATATCAACTCTTATTTTATTTCCGACTAGTCACATCATCCTAATGAATAGGACCGGTCGCCCATTATTATAAAAATTGCGGTGTACGTAGATCACCAAACACAACTTACTCAAATTTAAAGCTATGTAGCGCAGACGCGAGATAGTAGTTTGTAGTGAAATTGATTCCGATTGTTCAGTTTGTGTTGCTTTCTTCGATTTAGTTTTTATATTCTCAAATGAGTCAAAACAGTGTCCTCGGATTGATCATGTGAAGTCAGGCGAATAGGGTTACGGCACGATATTAGTTGAATGGTATGAGATGGTGCATTACTCACTTTTTTGTTAAATAAATTTAGACAAAGTAAAAATCAAACAWTTCACTTTTAGAGCYTCACAAAATGACACGTATCTCAAATACTAATGAATGTTACCAACCTACAGAAAATGAAATGTATCGATTCGAAAAACACCTGAAGTATAAATTAAAAATTAAACTTTCAATTTTATCACATCTATATGTTTGCTTCGGTAATATTTCACTTTGTGCATTTTTTATACTATTTGAAATACTTTCTTTSTCTTTATATGAAATTTAGCGAAATATGTGTATATTAACTTTAATCTTAAAGATGCTTATTGGACTCTCTGGGTACGTAACTGGGTATAATGGTACTTATCTCTTTGAAAAACCAGGAGATAAATACAACGGTTCACGCTATGAAGGAATGCGTTATGTAAGTCAGTATTTCAATAACATTTTATTTTTTATCGTTTTTAATTCAACGTATTCTTAGTTTTGTACAACCTTAGGAGCACTCATAATGCCCATGGCTTATGAYACAGTTTATGAGTTGACGCAATCAACCGAAGCAGCTGTGATATCTTCACTTTATTTAATATTTGGTTAGTAAATTTTTAGTTATTATACAATATTTTAATAATCTACTTACAAATATAATATTATGTATGTCAAGCAGATGTTGGTCTCGTAACTTTAAATCAATATATTTTGCTTGACCCGATTCTGCTTTTTTTCTTAACTGCATCCGTTTGGGGAATGACCAAGGCATCGAACCTTACAGCAACTGGAAATTCTTATACAATCTCTTGGTGGGCTTGGCTATTTTTTACCGGTACTATGTTAGCTTGTACAACAAGTACCAAGTTTGTAGGTCTCTTTGCTGTTATGCTCGTGGGTTTGCACACAATCCAGCAACTTTGGATAATTTTTGGAGATAYGAGAAAACCAATTGTAAGGAAAGAAGAATATTAATATTTGTATATATATTAACTAATAACATTTTTACTCTTTATATAAATTAATAAAGACGGAGACTGTCAAACAAATCGCGTGTCGAACAATTGCATTAATTCTGTGGCCAATTATTTTGTACATGTATTTCTTTTACATTCACTTGATTGTACTGAATCGGAGCGGAACCGGGGATGGCTTCTACAGTTCTGCTTTCCAATCGCGTTTAATTGGTAATTCTTTATATAATGTCAGTATGCCGCGAGATGTGACATATGGTGCAATTGTTACTATTAAAAATCATAAGACTGGAGGAGGTTATCTACATTCCCACTATCATTTATACCCAAAAGGTATTGGAGCCCGACAACAACAGGTAAATATACTATAATATTCAAGTCTACACAAAGCATGGAATCTTATGTACTTACACATTTAAAAGCATTTCCATTCCCGTTATTCTCTAGTTTTAATCAAAATATCGCTTTCATGGATAGATGACAACAATCACACTCAAAAGAATTAGTCTCATTACTCTAATGATTTATAAATATAGAATATATAAAGCTCGATAAGTTTTAGATGTTACAAAAAACGATTAGGCGAAACAAATCATTATCTGATAAAAGAAAAGATTTTTCATTTTTTGTATTATAATGTCTTGTGATATACACCACGTCAGCACTGAGTTATATTATTTCAACAGGAATAACTTAAATGGTTATACTGGGAAGATTGAATGGTTTTCGTAGTAATCATTGACATAAAATCAGAATATTATTCTGTAGCTGAGCAGCTTAAGATCGCAACGCTTAAAACCCTCGTGCCTTTTATGACTCGGCTATTTCCGYTCGTTCTCGGATTGCGCCCCTCGCGTCGGTTGGGCGGGAGGAGGGTAATCGTTGGGTATTATTATTATTATTATATTATAATTACATTCAAATAATCTATTTTCAATACCAACGTGCACTGTTCTCAAGAAAATATCTCCACACAATTCGTAACAGAGATAAAGATATCCCTAACCAGGAATAATGGGATAGTCAACTTATTCCAGTGTGAGAGMGGATTAAAAAAAGCGTTTTTTTATAACATTTTCCATTATGGCCAGATCGAACAAAATAAGAATTTGTTGGCATTTTAAATTAAAASACCCAACATTTATTACGATTGCAAATTATTATATATTCAACTTTTAATATATGGCGAAATTACTTAAATCCTTTTTTATGATTTTATTTTATATTAAAACTACAAACTTTTGATCTTCCAATATTTAATAAGGTGAATTAAGACTGTTAGTTCTCAACTAATAAATGTTTTTAATAATTTTTAATTGAAAATTAATTATATTAATTTATTATATATCTTTGATTTTTATTGTTTCATATTTTTATTAGCGATCTTGAATCTGTCTCTTATACACATCTAGATGTGTATAAGAGACAGCCTCCGTTCACATATACTTTTGGTATAATTTCAGTCTGGCCGTTCCAGTCATTTCAATTGCAAAACGTCAAAACCTACCCAATCCAGTCAACTGTGAAAGTTCGGTAGGTGAGCGGTTCTCACATTTCCAGTGACAGGAGAGTTAGTGATCTCTTTATCTCTGCTGTCTACCTTCAGGCGTACTCGTATAAATATACGATTCATCACCTGTCATGATGTCATAGACGGTTTTGAAGCACCAAGCAAGATCTTTTTTTTTTGTTTTTTTGACCGATTGACAAATTGTTTCGGATCCATTCGGAAAAATATTATTCTACAATCAAATGTTCACGTAATATTGAATGTATGCTCCCACTAATGCCTTGTAGTATCAGCCTGCGCACAGCACCAATGGTTTCCAAAACAACAACTGATTTTAGAAGACCGACAGAACATTCGTTTTAGAGTGTATTGTCAGATGATCCAGGTCAAGAATTGTAAAACATAATCTTGCGAAAATGTTCGCGAGATAATTCCATTTGGCTGATATGAATATTTTAAGAAACTGTAAGCAACACAAATAGCGCTCTTTTCTCAAAAAGTTCTGAGTACGTATAACATCAAAACTTTCAAACTCTACTATAAAGTTAGAAGTTGCCATATTGTATCACTTAGATTGCCAAATCCCGAAATATTATATAAAAGGCAACCTGCAGACAAACACATAGCTTGACATGGCTAAATTGACTCAGCTCGTCACGCTGATGATTTATGTACATAAATATGTTAAAAGGTCTTCGAAGTGGCCTTCTGGGTGTTTCAAACATCCTTTCAAATTTTATATACATATATAGTGGGCTCTTTTTTGTATTTATTTAGCAAATTTACCATATTAATATCTATAAATTYTATACAATTAGAATGTAGAGATTTCCATTAACATAAAACATACTCACTTAAACAAAAAATGATATTTTAAATAGGAGATAGAAAAGTATGGATTTTTCGATATTACGTCATTATAAGGAGAAAAAAATTCAATGTGCTAGGGACATAAAAAGGTAAATTTCAATAATATTTCGTGAAAGTTCATTTTTTGTACAAGGTAGAGATAAAAACCCAAAAATGTTTCGCATTCACTTTGAGCTTATGTGAAAAAACTCTATATACATGATATAATCCTCTCATTATCTACAACTTTGCTATACAACTTAAAAACTTTATTCCTAACCATTTTTTTGGTTTTGGTACGTCTGCGACTTCTTCTTCTTCTTCTTGATTGGCGTAGACACCGCTTACGCGATTATAGCCGAGTTAACAACAGCGTTATGAGTGACTTATAGAGTTTGGTTTTCGTTTGTCGAGAGAGGACTTTGCTTCTCAATTGCC